GGACTCTCGAGCCTATGATGATGAGAATAACAGAGACGACACTTTTATGGCTCAGCTGTGAGGCTTGCGGGCTGGCCTTGATAGGGGCAGTAGCGAGGGTAGGTTCAAGCAAGAGAACGATGCCTTGTTGGAGCTGCAGTGGTACAACGCTGGGGAATATCACAGGACTAATGGCATGTGGTGTGGAGGGGAGTGCATCCCGGGGGTATCGTGGAGTCGAGATGACTTTGTCGATAACCTCATGTTGTGGTGGGGGGATGCTGTCGTTGAGGAGGTGGGAGTGCGGCCAGGCTGATGAGGATCTCCGACATGGAAGTAGAGTAGGTTGGCAAGTTCCGGTATCGACCAAATTTTATGGATAAGGGAGGGCTGGTGTTGGACATAGGAGGCGCATGGACCTCAGTTCAGTCCAAGGAGATTTGGGCTCAGGTAGTTCCTGGCTGTGGATCCAATCATTGAGGTCTTCCCTTTTCTCAGTCGATGATGTGCATGCTGAGCTCTATAATGTGTGGTATACCAGGAGAGATCGCTGCGTTGCTGCCGGCCAGTGATCCCTTCTGGGACTTCATCGTGGATAAGGAAGGCCCAGAGGTTGTTCGCCTCCAGCGCGCGTAGGCCCTTGCCTCTTATCGTACTCACTGATAGCGTCTGAGTCACTTAGGAAAATTCGAGAGGCCCGTAATCGACGATTTAACGTATCTTGGCAAGAACAACGGTTTAGGAAGTTACATGGGGACTGCACTATGTTCCAGCCATCAGTGAGGATGAGCGTCGAGGCTAGCTGAGTCGGCTATTGAGGCTGTTGGCTTGCTGGATAGTTACCGTCATCGGAAGGCACCTCGGAATCTAGTCGGCCACGTGGAGGAGTATTGGAGAACGAGGCTCCAGGGGGTCCCCAGCGTGGTCAGGAGGGGCCGGGAAGGGCGTCGACCATCGTGGAGGAGATGAAGTCTTCTAAGAAGAAGTCCAAGGATACTACAGAGAGTAGCTCAGCCTCGTATAGTGGTAGGGTTGATCATGTTCAGAGCCTGGTACGCCTATGCGGCCCCCGGTGGTGGTGGCCACGTCACGGACTACGGACCCATCTGCTTACCCTTCTAGTGTCTGTACGGACTCCACAGCACCTTCAGCCAGTGAAGCGCGAGATGTAAGGGAGTATAGTGGCGTTGTGACGGCTGCTATAGACTATGACCACGCTGAAGAGGGAGTTGCCCGGATGAGACGGGGAGAGAGATTCCATTGCAAGTAAGATTGGAGGCATCCTCTGGGCCGACGAGGTCCCTTCTGACGCCCTTCAGACGGCAGACGAAGAACCTTTTCCTCGGCTATAAGGAGGGCTCGAAGGAGTTGCTGTGGCTTCCCAAATTCGTGGTTACTGGTGACCTTACGACGCTGAGGAGAGAGTAGCAAGTTGACAGTTGTGATTTGTCGTCGTTGATCAAGATACAATTGGACAAGATGTGTTTCCTTCCATCAACGGGTTGCTGCCTTGAGAGTGTTTCAGCTTTACTACTTCCCAGTCCTATTGCTGTGGTGGTTTCGCGTCTGCGAAATTCACCTCGTGAGTACTCCTTAGTATTTTCGCGTAGTATTTTCTTGAGGCTTCGTTGTGCATTGTTATGACATACAATGGGAGGGCTAATGAAGCCTTGGAGCATGCGCTGAAGAAGGCTCATGAGAAGTGTGCTGGAAGTCTGGGGAGGTGAACATTGTCCCAGCTCATCTTTTTGCGGGCGGAGGGAACGACTGCTTAGGTACATCTCGTTCGATATCCAGAATTCAGGGATTCGCAAGGTTACGTTGGAGGAGCTCCTCGAGTACTGCAACAAGTGGTATGACAAGGAGATTGATAAATTTGAGGATGCCTGGAAGCCGGAGATAGGCCCCCACAAGGACAGTGGCGGTAGGAGGAGCAGTGTTGATGAAAATATGCACATGGTCAACTACACGTGTTGATGATAAATAGGGAATTTTCATAGTCTCAAGTCGTGTGTATATTCTAATAATGTAGTTAGACTCCTATGCTGAGGAAAAGAAACATATATTCTAACAGGGAGGGGATACTCTGAAGAGGAAGAAGTGTGGTATGTCTCACGGCGTGG